TATTTTGTATCTGAGGGATTTTCTCTCCCCTGTAGGCCCTACCAGAATCCTCAAGTGAGAAAATGTGTGGGGGGTGTGTGTGTCTGGGGCTTTTATCTCCTGCACCCTTCCCCCATCACCACCACTTCACACTCAGTCCAACTTGGTATTGGTGGATCCCGCCACAAGATGGCGGTCATAGTTTATCTTTGTTTTCAGCATCTATTTTTGACAAAATATTTGTGAGGTTCACTGGCGGTGCCATTGGGGTGTCTTTGGAAATGTATATAGTGTTGTAGTGTCCCATCACCTTAGTGCCTTTCTTCCCAACCTACCTGTCATCTAAACAAAGCATGGGTACTTGCTATGTAAACACAGCCTCATGGCAAGGTCTCTCCTAACCAGAGTGCTGCTTATAAACCCATTCTATAACTGAAATTCAATGCCCATCAGTGACATTTATATTTTTACAGAAAATAATATCCCTGTGCCTTATGGCTCACAATTTACAAGCTATTGCACATGCTATTGTATTTCATGCTTTATCACGTTTCTGACACCCTTCCCCCACCTAGAGGGGCTTTACTGAGTGCACAGAGCTGGAAGGCAGGCATTTTGTGTCTTTCTGTGCTGGCTTGACCAGGAATCCTGGCCACCTCTTATCTGCTTTTTGGCCTATTTCACTAAGATTATGCTTTAAAAGATATATGATTACCTCTCCTGTCAACCTAAATCCCTGGGGAATTCATTCTCAGTAAATTTGAACCTCTCGCCCTGCTTTCCACTTGAAAAAGAAAATTAATTATCAGTGACTTTTGTACAAGTAAGTTGAGTTTTATAGTTTTCCCTAAAGATACCCAAACATCAGCCCTGTTCCTGAACAGAAGTAAGGCAATTACTAGCCTACTAATTCACTCAGGTCTCTATGGTTCTCCTTAAGAAAGTGCGGCACTGGTGTGTTAAATCATGTCCCTGATTCAGCTGGCAAATAGAGATCTCAGATCTCCGACAAATAGAGATCTGGCAAATAGAGACCTCAGGAGTGTGGGCCTCTCCTCCTTGCCTAAGTAACATCCAAGTCACATCCTGTCTAGTCCTTTCTCATAATGCCACTTGGCTCTGCTGTGTCTGTGTGACTCTGTCTGTGTGTGTCTGAGTGTAGCTGCTTGAATGTGCACAGCAGGAGGTCATAGAAGTTGTCAAAGCGTTCTGATCTAGTTGAAGGAGGGCAGCATTGCAATTAAACACTAAAAGGCACTAAGTGTTGAAATACTAAATTACCTGAAAGAATCTTTGTTCGTAGTTCCCTGGTCTTCAGAATTAGTTCCATGAACAGTAATTTCTAACTTAAATTTGTAAAGAACCAAATTTACAGATAGAACAGTAAGCTGAAAAACAGCATCATTCAATAAATTGTATTTAACAATGGAGAAATGAAATTTCACGCTCTTTGCAAACTTTCTCCCTCTAAGATGATTGATAAGCAACCCCACAATCCAATATTCTTATGCATGCAATTTGTGTCATGTGACATCTATAACATTTTTACTGCACTTATTTTCTTTGCAAGTCTGCCTTCCCTCTCACCATTCCATGGGTATGAGAGCAGGGACTTGATATTGTACAACTACAAAGTCCCAACACCTAGCACAATGCTGTATAAAGCCATTGGGTGATAAATGCTTGTTGACTGAATTGAACAATTGACTCTGAAGTGCCAGTTCGTGTCCTGGCTGCTCCACTTCTGATCCAGCTTTCTGCTATGGCCTGGGAAAGCAGTGGAAGATGGCCCAAGTCCTTGGGTCTCTGTACCGGCTAAATTAAAAAATGAAAGTTTATAGACTGGGCAGTGATATCTTCAAACATTTTGAAACTCATTGGGGTGTTCAGCCTCACCACTTACACAGTGGTTAAGATACCAGCATCATGTATTGGAACACCTGGGTTTGATTCCTGGCTCTGGTTTCTGATTTTAGCAGATGCAGACTCTCAGGAAGTGATGAGGACTAAGTGTTTGGGTTCTTGCCACTCATGTGGGATTGAGATCCACCTCCCAGCTTCAGCCTCCCAGCCCTGGCCACTGTGGGCAGAGAGGGAACCAGAAAATGGGAGCACCTTTTCTCTCTCTCTCTCTCTCTCTCTCTCTCTCTCTCAAATAATAAAACTAAACAGATAAATAAAATAGAAACCAAATTTTCTGTGTAGAGTACCTTCTGTTGATAGTATGACTGAAAAAAAGATCATTAACTCTCTATATTAAATACAAACCAAAGCAATAATGAAATATTTTTCCACCATCAGATGACTTTAATAACTATTTAAATATTAAGTCTTGACAAATGGAAACAAGCATGCTCAAATAGTGTAAATTGATTTGACAATATTTACCAAAATCTAAAATGTAAAAATGTGAGATAGGCATTTGGCATGGTGTTACCCACTTGGGATGCCAACGTCACATGGTGCAGTACCTGGTTTCAGTCCCAGCTCCTCTGCTTCTGATCCAGTCTCCTGTTATTGTACATCCTGGCAGGCAGCAGATGATGGCTCAAGTATTTGTGTCCCTGTCACCCACATGTGACACTTAGATTGAGTTTCAGGGTTCTGGTTTTGGCCTGGCCCAGACCAAGACCAAGCTGTTTCAGGCATTTAGAGAGTGAACTAGAAGATGGAAGATCTCTATCTCTCTTTTTTTCTCTCTTAGCCTTTCAAATAAAATTAAAATGTCTGTACAAATATGCAAACCCTTTGATCCACAATTCCTATTTGAGGAATTCACATGGGAGTAAACTCAACATGTGCATAAAAGTAGGAGGTTCAATAAAGCCTAGTTTTCCCACTCCTGGGAATTTATCTCAAGGAAATTAAATTAGCATATGAAAGTTATCTGTGCCCCCATGTTTATTGTAGCTCAATTCACAATAGCTAAGACAAGGAATTGACCCAAATGCCATCAACTGAAGACTGGATAAAGAAATTATGGAATATGCACACTATGGAATACTACACAGTGGTAAAAAAAAAATGTAATCTGGTAATTTACAACAAAATGGATGTATATGGAAAACATCATACTTAGTGAACTAAGTCCCAAAGGGACAAATACCACATGTTCTCCTTGACCTGTGATAACTAATAGAGCACCTAAAAGACAATCTGTAGAAGTGAAATTGATACTTTGAGAAGCAATAACTTGAACAGCCCTTGTCTTGACTGTTGAGGGATAGTTTTTTTTTACATATATACTATTTGTTGAACTATTTACTTAACATACAGTGTGTATAAAGTCAACTGAAAATAGATCTCAGTAAAAAATAAAAGTGGGAATAGAAGGAAGGAAGAAGAGGAGTGGGAGTATGGATGGGAGGGCGGGCACAGTGGGAAGAATCACACGTTCCTAAAGTTGTAATTATGAAGTGTATGAAGTTTGTAACTGTAAAGCTGTATAGTTCTGTATATATTCCTTTGGACTTACTTCTAAGGATACAGTTTAAAAACTTGCCATGGCACCCCAAATCCCTTTAGGCTGGATGGTAAAAATACCATCTTAGGTGTTAAAGTAATCTAATGGATAGGATTAAGTATCTGATAATAGTAACAGAATTTAAAATGAGTGGATGCTCTAACATGGGAAGCACAGCAAACTTATAGAATGACAATCACTTTAAATAGCACTCTGACCTCAGAATCAGTCCTTAAGGCATTCTAGTCTGGCTGAAAAGCCCATGAGAGCATTTCATGCATAGAAAGCCAAGACACTGTGGCAAAAAATGCCTTACATGAAGGACCTCTGTGGGTGAGGTCCCAGTGGAAAGAAGTGGTCATCAAAGAAGGAGGTATTTTTCTCTGAAGGGGGAGGGAACTTTGCTTATGGCCTTGTCTAAATACTGACAGAGTTTGTGGATTCAAAAAGCTTTCATAGCTTAGGCAGCTCATGTCAAGAGCCTCGGGTGATCACCAACGTCACACATAAGAGTGTTAATTGTTAAATTAACAACAGGAGTCACTGTGCACTAACTACCCCTGCAAGACTTCTGTCCTCAAAGAGTTGTATTATAATTATGTCTAAGTGCTTACAAAAGATGTGTCATTCTTGGGTGCTTCTTTAAAGTTAATTAAGTTTCTAAAATAAAAAAAAAGAAGTGAAATTAACTTCAAGATGCAATGACTTTGAACAGCCCTTGTCTCGACTGTTGAGGAACAGTTTTTTAGTTGTAGTTGTTTTCATGCAAATTGTTGGACTCTATTTAGTATAGAGTTGTTCTTCTGTGTATAAAGTTAATCAAAATTGGATCTAGGTGGAGAATAGGGATGGGAAAGGGAGGAGGAGGAAGGGTGGGAGAGTGGGTGAAAGGTCAGGTATGGTGGGAAGAATCACTAGATTCCTAAAGTTGTACTTATGAAATGCATGAAGTTTGTATTCCTTAAATAAAAGGTTTCTTTGAGGGGAAAATCAATTAAAAATAAAGCATGGTTTGTTATTGAACAAAATGGAGAAAACAAATGTCCATTAATAAAGAAATGGTAAATAAATGAGAATGCATGCATATTATGAATCATTGAGACAGCATTGTTTTAAATGAGGTAGACCTCTCACTCATTTCAAAAAGCTTCTGAGTCTCATTAAGTAGAAGAGCAAGTTGCAAGCTCCCCTTTTCTCTCTTTGGTGTGTGCATGCACACATCCATGTGTATATGTATGTGAAGTAGACTTACTGAAAAGAGCCTCGAACTGGACACAAAGGAAGGGGCATTATAGCAATTCAAACAATGTCAGGCCCAATATGTTATTCTTCTTTGCATTAAAGCATCCCACAAGGATCTGTTTACCAACTGCTTTATCTCCTATCATACTGTAGCCTCTTGCCTACTCAGTGGTTTAGCTGTCTTTCCATTTTGTTTAAAAAAAGTGGATGTACTTACATATGTTATAGTGAAATTCAATTGTCTTTTTTTCCTTGTCTTTGTCATTTACTTTTCTGTTTTTGTAAATAATTGATTGTGATCCTACTTTCTCCTTAGATTCATTCAGCCCATGACAGTGGCTGGGAATATTCAATATGGCTGAATAAGTGGATGGATAAATGAGCAAACACAGGCCCCCATTTTGTCTTAGCTGCCAGAATCTCCCCAGGTGTTAGCTGAAGGTAGGTTTTACACCTCAGCAAAGAGAATGAGAAGGAGGTCTTTGTATTCTAATAACAAATTATGAAAGACAGAAAATAATTTTAGCATGGGATTGTGTTGGTTACACACCTTCAGTAAAATATTCATTGAATGAATAATAAATCTCTGGTGCAAGAATTGATATGAAGGCAGTATTTAGAGAGGATAGGCCTTTGCTGAACCTTATAAACAATTATTTGAACAGTTCAGGAAGATACATAAGAGAAAGTTGAAAAACTACTAGCAATCCACCACTTTTACTCCCACCTTTCTTATTTTTTTTTACTTAACTAATGTACAAATACATTCTTGTTTTAGATTCAAAACATGGAGTTTTTTTTTAATCAACAAAAGCTAAACAGCTCTTACTGCTCCTATTCCCACTCTCTTTCCAGAGGAACCTTCCAGTTGGCTGGGCAGCTTTTCCAACACCCTTCCCTCTATGCATTTTACAGTTTTGTATGAACACACACTCATATTTTTGTTTTCATTGGCCTGATCTACAAGGGGAAGATGTCCCCAAGGAAATGACTAAGTGGAGATCCCACATCTGAACCTTATTGTTGGAAGATCACTGTTGGGCAACTAGTGTTGTTTAAGTAACTCCTGAAATTCGTATATCTAGGACTCATGCAAAATGAAGGTGAATGTATATATGATTTCCTTCTACCCTGTTGGAAAATTGGTATTGCTACCTTCATCCTTGGCCTTTTGCATGCTTAAAAAAGATTATTTCATGGTGGATAGAAATATGTAAGTGAAATAGAAATTGAGATTGATTGAGAGGCCTAGAGTTGGCAATAGAGGAAACAAAGAATAAGAGAAATTTGGAAGAAGGGAAATAGGAGCCCAGTTAGGCGACTAGTAACCAGGGGAAAGAAGTAGCAGCTGAGGGTTGATATATAAAACAGTAGGCAGAATATGATGGATATTTAGCAGGTAAGGCAAAGAGGACTTGGTGAAAAATGAGGTAGGGAAAGGATATGTTGAGGTTAAAGCCCAGAGTCCTTGGTGACCAAATGAATGGTGGTGACTTTCACCAAACACAGGGCACTGGTAGAGAAGCACTGGGGCTGGAAGACAGGCATTGGACCTCTTGACAGTCTTCAATATGTCATAATCGAATGGTCTATAAAATACCCAACTAGAGATGCTAAGTAGGAGCTCATAAGAGCCGTGTAGGCTGGAAATACAAGCACAGGCATCACTGATGTTTAGACATGTGGCTGATGTCAAGTGGAACAGACAGGTGCCAAATAGAAACAGAAATGAGTGGTGGTCAATGACAAAATTACCCAGTTAGAACAGGACCAGATCTGGTAACCACAAAGTCCATGGAGACAAGGCCCAGCTGCCCTCTAGTGGAATTCAAGCCATTTGAACAGCCACAATCAGAAAGACATAGAGCTGATTTTCAGGTTTTTGAGCAGGAGCACTGCAGGCTCACAGAGGAGGAAACATTACCTCGAGGCAGGACACTTACCTCCCTCCAGAAGGCTCTCAATAAAATGAGGTGTCTCTAATAATGGATTTTTTTCAAAATACAGCTAATTATTATTAGTCATTTTGAAATATGCATCCACAATCCCTTTTCTATAATTCAAACTTCTAAAACTTTCCAAAAAAAAAAAAAAACCCACAAAATTCTTTTCTTCCTAAACCCAGTTAATGGGAAAACTTTACTTGACATGAACTCATTTGGAGGCAAAATCTGACCTGAGTTTCCATGACGCTTTTGTATTCTTCATGTATCCCCCTAACTGGGAACACCACACATTTCATTACAAAAACTTGACTGACCAGATGAAGGTGTTATACAATATGATAGATGTAGCTTATTGCATTTTTAAAACTCTAAAGTCTCTTACAAATATCTCAAATCTAACAATGCTAAGTCTCAAGTGTATGAGGTTTTCAGCTCAAAAACTGGGCAGATAATCAGCAGCAGAATATACCCTATCATTTTAATTTTTAATCATAAGAATGTTCAAAAAGGGAACGTATCCCTGCATCATGTAAACAAATGAACAACATTCAGACTCCAGTAATCTAAAATTGAACAGTACAGTAATAAGGAAATCTCAGCATACAGCATAAGCAGATTCTAAGCAGAAGCCATTCAATGAACAGCCACTGCCCTGATGTGTGTGTGTGTGTGTTTTATGTGTGTTCGCATGTACACACCTGCATGTACATCATGCCTATGAATCAGGAGACACAGACTGTAGGTGCCTCCACTCTCCCAGAGCTACAAGCAAAGGCAGGGGCTCTCCCTGCTGTGGTGCCTTGAGGAAGCATACAATGCAGTGGACTTAGTAAGACCTGAGATCCTGTATCTAGTTCTCTTCTTCACACATATCTTAAAAAATTGGGATCATAAAATCGAAATGAAGATTCTATATAATATTTTTCCCTTTAAAAAGTACATATAAATAGTAATAAGCATTTTCCACTAAAACCATGCCAAGAACAAAATACTCTGTGCTCTGAAAGGGCCCTCACTACTTATTATGGAAAAAATCTATGATAGTCTCATTCCTTGTGCTCTTCCGATAGTTTCATGGCCCAAGGCCAGAAGCAAGTCAAGACAGAAATAGTGTCAAAAATTTTTATTTTATCTATGTCTTCTAAAAGCAGAAAAAAGTGCAGGATTCTTTCTCACAAAAAGTAATTTTTTAATATAATTTAGAATTAGAGACTTTTATGTGATGTTGATTCATTAATTAACCACATACTTATTGTGCAGCTACCTAGGCACTAAGCATTGTCTTCAATAGGATGCAACGCAAAGTCCTCCTAAGTTGTGTGGAGAGTGAAGAAGCCAGATGGCATTACCCCCACCTTACAGCTACAGAAATAAGATTGAGAAGGATCTATATGTCCATATAAAGGAAGTAGGAGTGTATGTTGCCTCCAAGCCCTGTGCTCTAAGTCTGTATCTACTAACCCATGGTGCTCACAGCAATGCACTCCCAAAGGCCAAAGCAGACATCAGAGAAGGCCCAGAAAAGTTGCAAATACGAGCAAATGAGAAAGTCCCAGAACCAGCCAGAACACACACAGCCATGTTCCAGAGTGAAAGGAACAACACGATGGACCCAAACAAAGAAGCCAAAGGGGAGGGTTTGGGGGAAGGATTGTGATCCCATAGCCAGACACACCAAATCCAAATCTGGATTATTTTTAAATCCGCTCCTAGGATGGAGAGGGTGGTAATATTCATTTGTGGTGAGTATATTTATTATGATTTTCCTCCAGGGTTTGCCTTAAGATGAACATTTGAGAAGAGTCTTCTACTGAAAAATAGGAAGTAATCCCAAGAACAACACACCTTGATTTTTCACAGAGTCCCTTTTTCCTTGCCAAGAATCTCAGAGCACTTTGGAGGGCACCCGATTTCCAACGAGTAGTAGCTGGATAGGAGGCGCTTCCAGAGCCTCTTGGAATTTCCTGAAGGAAGATAAAGGCTGCGAAGGGGTCATCAAAGGCCAGACACACTGTGTAAAGTCTGTATTCCTGCATATTTTGCAGACAGGTATGGGAAGAGCTAGAGATGTTACAGTTCTGTAAGCTTTTGGCTCCCAGGGGATTGTGATGGGCCAAAAATTCAGGTAAACAAAATACCAGCTGAAAACTCCTCTACAAGAATGCTTTGGAATATCACACCTGGATTTTGGCTCCATGCCACCACAAACAGAGTATGTGGGCTTACTGGCATTGAAACAAGAATATCCGTGGGAGAAATCAGGGGAGTCGATGGCTTAGGGGCCTGATAATGGGCTATGTTTTGCCTCTTATCTTCTGGCTCATAGTCAGCCCAGGTGGAAAGTGACTAAAAATGGCTACCTCACTGTGGCCTCTGGGCTTGGTCCTTTCTACCTGGTAAACAAGGATCTACCTCCATCAAACAAAAGACCCAAAAGAGAAACTTGGAGCAACTGTCTAACAGATCTGCCAAGAACTCAATGGGCCATAAAAGAAAAGAAAAGAAAATAGTAATAGTAATAGTAATAAACCAAGAGAAAAAAGAAAGAAAAACTGGGGAGGTGGGGGATAGTGGGGGATTAGGCCTCCTTGCCTTAACAGGTGGCTGGGAGCTGGCACAAAAGCTGCTCTTGGGGAAAGCCCGTGTGGGTCTTGAAGAAGGGCTTTTGTAAGGAAGCAGTCAGTCGGGGCCTGAGAAAGCCAGTTACTCAGTTACAACACAGAGGGCAGTCTCAGCCTCATGTCACTCTCAGACAGGAGAGGACACAGTGCTAGCGTTAATTGAATACCTCACCAGTGCATTAATGGTGGACGTCCTCTCATCACGTGTCCATTAACCTGTCCTTCGTTTCCAGCCTCCGGGGCCACAACCCGCTTTTCAGATCAGCATTTCTCAGCCTCCATGCTGTTGCTGTTTTGAACAGGATGATTCTTGGTGGCTGCACTGTGCGCTGTTGGACAGCATGCCTGGCCTACCCACTAGATGAGAGTAGCAACCTCCATCTCCCCAGACCTCAGAACAACCCAAAATATCTCCAGAAATTGCCAAATAGCCCTGAGGGACAAAAGCACCCCCAGTTAAGCATCGCTGTCTGAGGAGAGACCAACTGGGATGCTTGAAAGAGCATGAACCCTGAGGCCAGCAGTGGCCTGTGTTTGGTGAAAGTTACCACCATTCATTTGGTCACCCAGGACTCTGGGCTTTAACCTCGACATATCCTTTCCCTACCTGAGGCCAGCAGACCTGGGTGTAGGTCCTAATCTCATCTCCTGTCTTCACAACTTGGGAAGTTATTGGCCACTGAGCCTCAGTGTCCTTGTGTGTGCCCTAGGATTAGAGGAGAAACATCTTGGCACATGGAGGGTATCCAATTTCCAGTGTCCTTCTCTCCTGCTCTCCACAACCGTCTCAGCTTGGAGACCGTTTCACATCATTCTCTATCATTTTATTATTCTCTCTCCCACTCCTACTCTTCATCAAATTCCTGAATTCTTCTCTGATATGTCCTTATGGCATAAACTCTGAATTGAAATCAAAGGAGGTGGGCTTATGCCTCAACTTTGTGCTTACTTGCTACATGAACTTGAACGAGTTATTTAATTTTTTTTGATTCTCGTTAAATCAGTGTCACTATCTTGGTATCCACAAAATTGTATGCTTAGATGCCTGACCTGGCCCACTGTTCTTTGTGAGCCATGGGCCATATGGGATTGCAGACTCATTTTTCTTCACTCAACCAAGTTGGTATCTTACTAAAGTGATTCTCAAGCATGCCTATGCATTAAGACGCTTTGTGAAGAGCTTCAAAACAAAACACAGAGGCTCAAGGCATCACCAGCGAGTGGGAGGTCCAGCGTGGGGCTCAAGCAGCTGTCTTTTTTTTTTTTTAACTTCTTAGCTGATGCTTATACAGGATTGGGATTGAGATCTACAGTCCCAGACTCTCCAATCTTTAGTGCACCTGCTCACCGTCTCTAACTCATGACTAACTCAGCTCCCTCCCACATCCAAAGCAGTGGCCAAATTATTGCCTCTACTTGGATTGCTCCTCCAGATTTTCTCAGCCAGTCCATGGTTTTTGTTTTTGTTTTTTGTTTTTTTCCTTTTTCAAAATTAACTCCTCTTAGCAAGCCTTCCCACTTTCCTCTGGTACTAGGATTTGCTCATCCAAGAAAATTCTTAGGACATGTATGATACATTGTACTTAGAAATCAAAATTTATTTTAAAAAAATCAGCAATTATACAGTATTATACTTGGGATAAAAATCTGGAAGAACTTCTTCCAACATCATCACAAATCAGAACATTATTTTTTTTTAACTCTTCACTTTCAAGTACTGTCAAAGACAGTGTCTGAGCCATGTAAGAAGGACCATGTTAGGCTGGCGCCATGGCTCACTAGGTTAAGTCTCTGACATTCTTACTAATCTTACTATAATACTCCTCAATCTAAACTATGCATTGAAATCATGTGGTGTGGCCGGCGCCGTGGCTCACTTGGTTAATCCTCCGCCTGCGGCGCCGGCATCCCATATGATCACTGGGTTCTAGTCCCGGTTGCTCCTCTTCCAGTCCCACTCTCTGCTGTGGCCTGGGAGGCAGTGGAGGATGGCCCAAGTGCTTGGGCCCCTGTACCCACATGGGAGACTAGGAGGAGGCACCTGGCTCCTGGCTTCGGATGGATGTAACTCCTGCCGTTGTGGCCATTGGAAGGAAGGAAGACCTCTCTCTCTTTCTCTCTCTCTCACTGTCTGTAACTCTGTCAAATATAAATATATATATATGTGTGTGTGTGTGTGTGTGTGTGTGTATATAAGGACCATGTTATTAAAGTCACCAAAACAAAAATTCTACAGTTCATCTTCACCAATACACCTTGCTCACCACTTGGCTCTAATTATCTTTTAGACTCTTCCAAATATCAAATCCCCCATTAAAGGATGATTTATTATTCTGGACAATATTCAAAAATTGTACCACATGCTCTAAACACAATTTCAAAATGGTTTTGAGCAACAGCAATATTATTAGAATAAGTATGTTAGTTTTCAAAGTTGATTACTTGGGTGGAAACATTCATTTAAATAAACAAATTATGACACATTTGCTTTGTAAAAAGTTCTCACTATGAGTCACAACATCTTAACACTTTTAAGTTTAATTACTATTACCAGTTTGAAAGCTGTTTGATTCGCGCTGAGGTTCTCAATGAGGAGACATTTGGCAATGTCTGGAAACACTCTCATTATTACAACGTGGAGGGTGTGGGGTGCTTCTGACATCAAGAGAGTCCAGGATGTTACCAGTCAACATCCTCCAGCGCACAAGACAGCCTCCCTCACTTTTCCCAAGCAAGAATGGCTCAGCCAAAAATGCAATAGTGCCACTGCGGAAAACACGGCATTAGATGTCTCCATGGTTCTGGGACGCTTTCTTATATATTTTGATCCACCTCTCTGTCTTAAGTTGAAATTTATTCTTCATCATATGTGATATAGGCAACAGGAGAAGTACTATGTAACTCCCTAGGATTTTTCCCCCTGGTGATTGGACATTCCTATTAATCAGGAGTCATTTCCTCAAGAAAGTGTGACTGACAACAGTATGATATTGTGATTGGGGGTGTGGACTCCGGAGCCAGCCTGCCTGGGTAGAAATCTCAGCTCTGTCATTTACTAGCTATATGACTTGGGGCGATTTACTTAGCTTCCTTATACTCTCATTTCTTCATCTGCAAAATGAGAATAAAACTCTCTCTCTTCTCATATCATTTTTGTGAAGGTAAAATAAATTTTTAAGTATTTAGTGTCTGGCATGTAAGAGGTGCTCAATAACTTAGCTATCAATATTATATTTATTACTATTATTATTAAGTAAACATCACTGCAAAAATTACAATGCTAAACATTTTCAGAGTGTAAACCAAAGTAAAGTGATTAGCATTGGCAGGGCATTATAGCAATGGCCCTCAGTCTGTGGACATTAGAATCACTCAGTGCAGGGTTAACGTTGTGGTGCCGTGAGTTAAGCTAGCATCCCACATAATTCCAGGCTTCTCCATGTCCCATCTAGCACCTGCTAATGTACCTGGGGGAAAGCAGCAGAAGATGGCCCAAGTGCCTGGGCCCCTGCCACCCTCGCGGAGACCTGGGTGGAGTTCCTTAGCTCCTGGCTTCAGCCTGGCCCAGCCACAGCCATTGCAGCCATTCAGGGAGTGAAGAAGCAGATAGGAGATCTCTCTCTCTCTCTCTCTCTCTCTCTCTCTTTCTCTCAGTAAACAAGCAGGGGATAGAAGATCTCTCTATATATCTCTATCCCTCTCTCCCTCCCTCTCTCTGTTATTCTGCCTCTCAAATAAAATAAATAAATCTTTTTAAAAAAGAATCACACAGGGAGTTTTCAAAAACATGAACAAACACCATCCAAGCTACACTTTAGACTAATTACATCAGATTTCCCTGGGAGGGGACCCAGGTATTTCTACTGTCTTCAAACCCACCACATGATTTTTTTTTATATTTGACAGGCAGAGTTAGACAGTGAGAGAGAGACAGAGAGAAAGGTCTTCCTTCCGTTGGTTCACCCCCCAAATGGCCGCTACGGCCGGCGCGCTGTGCTGATCCGAAGCCAGGAGCCAGGTGCTTCCTCCTGGTCTCCCATGCGCACGCAGGGCCCAAGCACTTGGGCCATCCTCCACTGCCTTCCGGGCCACAGCAGAGAGTTGGACCGGAAGAGGAATAACCGGGACTAGAACTTGGTGCCCATATGGGATGCTGGTGCCACAGGCGGAGGATTAACCAAGTGAGCCATGGCGCCGGCCACACCACATGATTTCAATGCATAGTTTAGATTGAGGAGTATTATAGTAAGATTAGTAAGAATGTCAGATAAGAAGGGGGCATATTAAGAAAAGAAACAAATGCTTGTGAAGGAAGTAAAAGAAGAAGAATCTTTGAATTAATGAATAAGTTTAGATTAAGAAATAAGAATACAAAAGTTCCTACTTTTTTAAAGAATTTACAACCCCTTTACCAATATAATATACAAA